AAGGGGGAGGAGGATGAGGATCAGAAGAGGAAGGTCGAGGAGGTAGGTAGTAGGCGGCACGAGGTGGTAGGCAACTCGGAGGTATGAGGTAGGAGAGAGGAGGGAGGAGGTAGGAGAGAGGACGTATGATGTATGCGGTGTGAGGAAGAGGAGCAGGATGATGTGGACGAGAAGCTAGGAGGCAGGATGTAAGAGGTATGCGACAGGAGGAAGGTGGTACGAGGTATGACATACGACGTAGGAGGTATGAGTTTTGGGGTTTGGAGGTCGAAGGTAGAACGAAGGATGTGCGAGGTAGGATGAAGAAGGGAAGGGGAGGCGGGATAAGGATGATGATGCTGATGTTGATGCCGATGATGCTGATGCTGCTGCTGCTGATGATGATGATGATGCTGATGATGATGATGATGCTGATGATGACGATGATGATGATGAGGATGATGAGGAGGAGTAGGAAGAGGAGGAGAAGTGGGAGGACGAGGAGGAGTGGGAGGATTAAGGAGGAAGGAGGATGAGGAGGAGGATGCCGAGGAGGAGGAGGAGGAGGAGGAGGAGGAGGAGGAGGTGGAGCAGACGCATACGGAGGAGGCAGGATGTAGAGATGTGAGGTACGAGGTCGGAGGTAGGAGGTAGGAGGAGGTATGAGGAGGAGGTAGGAGGTAGAGGGAAGGATGAAGTAGGAGGTGCAAGGATGTAGGAGGCAGGAGGTAGGAAGTAGGATGCTGATAGTGAGGAGGGAAGGCAGCAGAAAGAAGAGGAGGAGGAGGACAAGGACGAGGATTAGGAGGAGAATGAGGAGGAGGAGGAGGAGAAGTAGAAGGAAGAGGAGGTGAAGGACGGGGAGGAGGATGAGCAGGAGGTATGATGACGAGGAGGAGGATGAGGCAAGTATGAGCGCAGGCGGGCAGAGGCATATGGTGGGAGGAATGACGATGAGGACGAGGACGCAGGAGGAGGCGGAGGAGGAGGAGGCGGAGGAGGTAGGATGACGAGGCGGAGGATGATAATGCGGAGAAGGAGGACGAGGAGGAAGAGGAGGATGATGAGGAGGAGGTAGGAGGACGAGGAGGCGGATAGGGCAGGTCGGAGGATGGCAGGCGGGCATATGTAGGTGGTAGGAGGAATGAGGATGAGGAAGACCCGGGCCCCCGACGTCGTGATTTTTTCACAGCGTCGACCCCCAGAGGTCTGGACCCCTTCCCCGGGACCCGTTTTTCATCCCGAGCCGTTTTTCTACAGTCCCGAGGCCCAGGAAGGGCCTCCGAATGGCGAACATAGCGAAACACCTCCTGTCATCGCGATGGGGGTCTGGGGACCCAGGAGGAGGATGGCAGGCGGGGAGGGCCGAGCGGGTCTCGTCGCAGGCCACCACCGAGGCGCAGAAGACGCGCCTTCAGCAGCTAGAGGCCGAGGCCCGCCCGCGGGCCGCGCTCCTCCTCACCTGTCGCCTTCATCCGCCAGCAGCAGAGCGGGATGGGGGGAGGGAGCTGGGAGAAGCGAGGAGTGGCATGGCAGGAGGAGGATGGGGAGGGGGAGGAGGGGGATGCTGATGATGATGATGATGATGATGATGATGATGATGATGATGATGATGATGATGATGATGATGATGATGATGTGGTTGATGATGATGCTGATGATGATGATGCTGCTACTGATGATGCTGATGCCGATGATGATGGTAATGATGATGATGATGTTGATGATGCTGTTGACGATGGTGATTATGATGATGATGATGATGATCATGCTGATGTGATGCTGATGACGATAATGATGATGCTGCTGATGATGATAAGTCTGGTAATGATGACGACGATGCAGCTGATGATGATTATGTTGAGGCTGTTGATGATGAAGATGATGATGATGATGATGATGATGATGATGACGCTGACGATGATGATGCTGATGATGCTGCTGAGGATGATGATGCTGCCAATTATGCTGCTGATGCTGATAACGCTGACTCTGATGCTGATGCTGATGATGATAATGCTGCTTCTGCTTATCATCGTGATGCTGCTTCTGACGATGATGAAGACGATGATGCGGATGATGTTGCTAATGATAATCATTGTGGTGGTGATGATGCTGATGCTGATTATGATGCTGATGCTGATGATGCTGATGATGATGCTGATGAGTATGAGTATGATGCTGCTGCTGCTGATGATGATGATGATGGGGATGCTGACGCTGCTGTTGTTGATGCTGCTCTTGGTGCTGATGATGCTAATGCTAATGCTGATGATGATGATGATGATGATGCTGATGCTGGTGGTGCTGATGATGAGGCTGATGATGATAATGATGAGGCTGACGATGGTGACGCTGATGCTGATGCTGGTGATGCTGATGATGGTGATGCTGATGATGGTGATGCTGATGCTGATGCTGTTGATGATGCTGATGATTGTGATGTTGATGCTGCTCACGATGGTGATGATGTTAAAGATGACGATGATGCCGATACTGATGACGATGCTGCTGACGACGATGCTGATGATGGTGCTGACGATGTGGCTGATCATCATGATCTGGACTATCCTTTGCTATTCTTCAGATGGTGATGATGATCATGATGCTGATGCTGTTCATGCTGCCGCTGATGATGACGATCATGATGAGGATGATGCTGGTGATGCTGATGGTGATGGCGTTGTTGGTGCTGCTGCTGCTGATTATGTTGATGCTGATGATGATGTTGGTGAGGATGATGATGCTTATGATGATGATGCTGATGCTGATGATGATGCTGATGATGATGCAACTGATTATGATTCTGATCATGATCAGGATGAGCATGCTGATGATGCTGACGATTATGATGCTGGTGCTGACGATGCTGATGATGATGCTGATGATGATGTTACTGATGATGAGGATGCCGATGCTGATGCTGACGATGCTGGTGATGATGACGATGCTGATGCTGATTGTGATGTCAATGATGATGATGCTGATGATGCTGATGATGATGAGGCGGATGAGGATGATGATGCTCATGATGCGACTGATGATTATGATGCTGATGATGATGAGGATGATGATGATGCTGCTGATGATGATGAGGATGCTGCTAGTGATGATGATGGTGTAGATGGTGATGATGATGATGATGATGATGATGATGATGATGATGATGATGATGATGATGATGCTGATGATGATGATGATGACGATGATGATGAAGATGAGGATGATGATGATGCTGATGAGGATGATGATGACGATGATGATGATGATGATCATGATGATGATATGGCGAGTATGAGGAAGATGCTGATGATGCTGCTGCTTATGCTGATGCTGATGATGATGCTGATTATGATGCTGCTGCTGATGATGATGATGATGATGCTGAGGATGATTATGATGATGATGATGATGATGATGATGATGATGATGATGATGATGATGATGATGATGATGATTATGATGCTGCTGATGATGATGATGATGATGATGCGGGCGATACGGATGATGCGCATGATGAGGATGCTGCTGCTGCTGCTGATGACAACGATGCGGATGATGATGCAGCTGATCATGATTATGATGAGGCAGTCGATGCTGCTGCTGCTGCTGATGATGATGATGATGATGAGGATGAGGCTCAGGATGAGGATGCGGATGAGGACGAGGACGAGGCTAATGATGATGCTGATGATGATGATGTTGATGCTGATGCTGATGCTGACGATTATGATGATAAGGAGGATGATGATGATGATGATGATGATGATGCTGATGCTGATGCTGATGCTGACGATTATGATGCTGATGATGCTGATGTTGTTCATGATGATGCTGATGATGACGACAATGATGATGGTGCTGCTGCTGCTGATGATGCGCTGCTGATGATGATGATGATGCTGATGCTGCTGATGATGGTGATGATGATGATGATGCTGATGATGATGATGCTGATGCTGCTGATGCTGATGATGTTGATTATGATGATGAAGATGAGGATGATGATGCTGATGCTGATGATGATGATGATGATGATGCTGATGATGATGATGCTGATGATGATGATGATGATGCTGATGATGCTGATGATGATGAGGATGCGGATGCGGATGCGGATGATGCTGATGATGATGATGCTGATGCTGATGATGATGATGATGATGCTGATGCTGATGTTGATGTTGGTGGTGCTGATGCTGATGCTGCTGATGATGATGATGATGATGATGCTGATCATGATGATGATGATGATGATGATGATGATGATGGTGATGCTGGTGATGATTTTGATGATGATGATGATGATGATGATGATGATGATGATGATGATGATGCTGATGATGATGATGATGAAGACGATGAGGATGAGGATGAGGATGAGGATGCGGAGGAGGAGGGTGAGGAGGAGGATTAACGGGATGGGGGAAGAGGGAAATGCTGGTGAATGAGGAGGAGATGTAGGAGAGGAAGGCAGGCGGAGGGGAGGCAGGAACGAGGAGGAGGTGGAGGAGGATGACGCAGAGGAGGAGGATCAGGAGGAGGAGGAAGAGGAGGCGGAGGAGAAGGAGGAGGAGGGTCAAGATGATGAGGAAGACGAGCCAGACTAATGATACTAATACTGATAATAAGAAGAAGGATACTCATAATACTAAGACGGCAAACAATACGAATGACAATACGACCCACGACCACGGAACTTATTCCACATACCAATCATAGCAATGCTATTACCAACAGTAAAGCTTTTACAGTCATGCGACGAATACTAATAACAATCGTACGAGTACTTTAATCTTACCAATGCTTAAACTACTGCCATTACTAAACACAGTACTAATCATCATAAGAAGAAAGCTAATCTGAGTAATACGAAAAATGCGAACACCACTCATATTAAACCTAGTATGGCGACTAAGACGACGAGGATACGAATGAGGCAGAGGAGGAGGATGAGGAGGAGGAGGAGGAGGAGGAGGAGGAGGAGGAGGAGGGTGAAGAGGAGGTGGAGAGGAGGGGCAGGAGGGGTTGGAGGAGGGGGGAGAAGGGGGAGGAGGAAGAGGAGGAGGAGGAGGAGGAGGAGGAGGAGGAGGAGGAGGAGGAGGAGGAGGAGGAGGAGGAGGAGGAGGAGAGGAGGAGGAGGAGACGAGGGAGGAGGGGGGGAGAGGAGGGGGAGGAGAGAGAGGAGGAGGAGGAGGAGGAGGAGGAGGAGGAGAGGAGGAGGAGGAGGAGGGGGAGGAAGGAGGAGGAGGAGGAGCAGGAGGAGGAGGGGGTGGAGTAGCAGGAGGGGGAGGAGGACGAGGAGGAGGAGAAGGAGGAGGAACAGGAGGGTAGGAGGAGGCCTTGGAGGGGGAGGAGGAGGAGGAGGACGAGGAGGAGGAGGAGGAGGAGGAGGAGGAGAGAGGAGGAGGAGGAGGAGGAGGAGGAGGAGGAGGAGGATGATGAGGAGGAGGAGGAGGAGGAGGAGGAGGAGGAGGAGGAGGAGGAGGAGGAGGAGGAGGAGGAAGGGAGGAGGAAGGAGGAGGAGGAGGAGGAGGAGGAGGAGGAGGAGGAGGAGGAGGAGGGGGAGGAGGAGGAGGACGAGGAGGAGGAGGAGGAGGAGGAGGAGGAGGAGGAGGAGGAGGAGGAACAGGAGGGTAGGAGGAGGCCTTGGAGGAGGAAGAAGAGGAGGAGGCGGAGGAGCAGGGCGGGAGGAGGATGCAGAAGGCAGGAGGATGAGTGGGAGGGCCAGCGTGTGAACTGACTTGAAGTCGTTTCCCTTACCTTTGCAAAGAGTGGTTCGATGTTTTTTGGATTTGCCGTTCGCACAGTTGTTGGTATCAGGAAGTACTGGACCCCACATCCCGAAACCGTTTCGGTAAACCATGTCGTTTTTTTTTTTTTTTTTTTTTTTTTTTTTTTTTTTTTTTTTTTTTTTTTTTTTTTTTTTTTTTTTTTTTTTTTTTTTTGTTTTTTTGTTTTTGCATTTAAGTCTCTCAAGCGTAACTCAATGCTCACCGAGGTCGCCACCACTGGCCTTGATCCAACACTGTTTAATCAACAAGTCAGGTGCGTGCCTCTCGCACGCACTGGCATGGATGCACAGATGACTGATGCAGCGGCCACGATGGCAATGCGGCATCGGCGACGAAGTGGTAGTCTTCCAGACAGACTACACCGCTTCCACAGGGAGGGGGGATGTAGGAGAGGAGGGGGGAAGCAAAGTAGTGGGAGGAGGGATGGGGGAGACTATGCATGGTGGCAGGGGGGAGGTAGGAGAGGCGAGGGAAGGGAGGAAGGTGGATGTGTGAGGAGGGATGTGGGAGGGGCTGGCAGGTGAGAAGCGAGGTTGGCGGGAGTGAGGGTGAGGAGGGCGACGGGGGGCCGCACGTGTGTGAGGAGGTGGATGTGTGAGGAGGGCGACGGGAGGCCGCACGTGTTGGCAGGTCTGTCCAGTAAGAGGATGGCGCGTCCCCTGCTCACTCCGTCACGGCACGGTCACTGAGCCAAGCTCAGACTCTACAGCGGGGTGGCGCGCGCCCTTGAAGTCGCGGCCTCGGCCGCCGCACGCCCTGCCTTGCACTGCGGGGCGCAGCGGGGCAGCTGGTACGCGGTCGCGCTGTACACTTCCGGAGTGCGGTGCGCCCCCTCCATCCCCTGGTTCGGAGCCACCCCGCCCTCGAGACATTTCCACGGCCCGCCTCCCCAGACCTTGAAGGGCCACAAGCCACCCCCAGCGGCCCTCCTTCTCCTGCCTCCTCCTTTCCATCCCCATGTCCAGCCTCCTCACGGCGCCGCAGGTCCGGAAGCCGCGGGAGGAGGCGAAGAAGCAAGCGGAGGATGGCACCGCCATCAAGGTACAGTGGATGATGATGTTGATGATGATGATGACGATGGTGACGATGACGATGATGATCATGATGATGATGATGATGATGATGATGATGATGATGATGATGATTATGATGATGATGCTGATGCTGATGCTGATGCTGATGCTGATGCTGATGATGATGCTGATGCTGATGCTGATGCTGATGATGATTCTGGTTGTGGTGATGGTGGTGGTGATGACGATAATGATGATGATTGATGATGGTGGTGGTGATGACGACGACGACCATGCTGATGATGATGGTGGTGGTGGTGATGATGCTGATGACGATGATGCTGCTGATGATGATTATGACACGGCAGTGATGATGCTGATGACGATGACAGTGGTGGTGGTGATGGTGATAGTGGCGGCAGTGGTGGTAGTGGTTGTGCTATTCACGTCATGATGCTGATGCTGATGCTGATGATGCTGATGCTGATGCTGATGATGCTGCTGAGATGATGATTCTGATGATGATGATGATGCTCGTGTGGGAATGGTGAGGGCGATGTATATGATGACGATGATGGTGATGATGATGATGCTGATGCTGATGATTGCTAGTCAGCGACGGGGGGTGGGCCGATCGGGCGATGCTGGCAGCCTGAACCGATGGGGGGTCGGCCACTGCGCGCGCTGAGCCAGTGCCCATACGTGCGCCAGTT